TTCCACTACCAGCCATACCACTGCCACTACTTCTTTGTCTTCCTCTCTTGGTCCCGTTCCTGTTTTCCTATCCTATATATACTTGCTCACTCACTCTATTCTGTTAGTGTGACCTTGTAAATGGTCCGAGACGGACAGGAACATCTCCTCTGTGCGGGTTATTTGTGTATTGTTCCAGTCACGGTATTGTGCCTTTTTGTTCTTTTTGGGGCGTCGACCCCCGAAACCTCCTCCAGGTATACCAAAGCATCGACTGTATCATTCATGGCAAGAAGTTATTATTATTATTATTATTTTTATCAAGGGAGAGTTAAAACTGTAGGGATTATACAGCGCCTGTGTGTGTGTGTGTGTGTGAAGGGGAAAGGAGGGGGGAAGGGAAGGCATTCAGGGACTCCAATTCCCTAGATAAAGAGCCTCTCACCAGCATCTTGCGTGCTCACGGTAAGAAGTAACTCAGTACACGTGAGAGACTAACCAAACAGACCGACCCCTTCCTTGTTACCGTTTTTTTTTTTAAATCCTGTCGCATCTAGGACTTAGATTGTATCCGGGATCCCGTATTTCATTGTCAAGGTAGATGAAAGGCATTTTGTTGTTGTTACTCGCTTTAAACCCTTGAATGTTTGCAAAAACAAATGATGTTACGTTCCTCGTTGCTGTACTTTTGTCCCCTTTCTTTGGGATGGATTTTATAATCTGTGGTTCTGGAGATTTCCACCACTGGCTTTTGTTTCAACTCCAGGATGGTTTCTAAGCGTTGAGCTATTCTTACCATCTCCTGCCATTGTTTTTACCTTGCCTGGCACTAAAATAATCGTTGCTGCCTGCATGGCTACGATTTCCACGTTCCGCTGTACGTTTATGTTGTTTTATGCTCTTCGTTCCTTCACATGGAACGCCGGGCTATTGGTATCATAGCTGACAGTGTTTATGTTACTGAGTAACAGCACACTGTGGAGTGAAAATATGTGCAGGTCTTGGAATGACTTACTCGTTTCCTGAGGAAAGTAAGATATTTTTTTACTGAAAGAGTAAGATATTCCTTTATTGAGTAAATAACCTTCTCTGTGGAAAGAGGCAAATGTAGTCACTGTTCACGAAAAGAAGAGCAGAATGGAAGTCAGCAACTTCAGACCAGTGTCACTCCTGTCAGTCACTTTCAAGATTCTTGAGACAATAATCTCAAGGCAGATGGCAGAGTTTTTCGACTACCACTCGCTTCTTTTTGAGCGTCAATATGGCTTCAGTCGCTCTGCTGCTGATCTGTTGTTAAATCTCTCCACTATGCAGCACCAGTCAGCTGTGTAGTAACACTGAACATGGCTGGTGCTTTCGATCGAGTATTGCACCATGGACTCTTAGCAAACTGCAAGCACTAGGAGTCGCTGACTCGGCACTATGCCTCCTAGGGGTGAAATATGATTCTAAACTGACTGAAGAATCAAGTAGTAAATCTCGCAAACAAAGCAGCGAGGAAGCACATACATAAATCTTGCATCTGCTCGACAGTAGAGGCTGCAAGAATCAGTATGAGGCACAAATGCATTCACACCTTGAGTATGCTCCATTTACTTGGATTGCCTACCCTCCACTCTCGTCTGCGACTTCTTGACAAAATAGAGCACAGAGAAAGACGACTCATCACTCTCCTGGACCCAGCTTGGATAGATCTGTCATTTCACGAGAGCTTTCAACACCGGAGAGATGTGATTGGCTTTACTGTTATGTACAAGGTCAGCGAGAAGTGAGCTTCTACATTACAAGACGGGCAGCAAGCAGCAACTACACTCTCACTGTACTCTTCTCCAGAACATCACTTTATCTGAGATCATTTATTCCCATGATGAGTCGAGTCTGGAACATGTTCGTACATCATAATGTCATCAGCGAAATGAAGTCAGTTGCCCAATGAAAGCACTGGCCCCGCAGATGGCTCCAACTTCATCCTGTTCCAAATTTGTATGTTTCATAACAATAAAAAAACTTTCAAATGAGCTGAGGGAGGTAACAGCTCTTGGCTCGTAAATAAAAAAGAGAAGATATTTCTTTATTGAGAGAGAAGTCGCTCTGACACATTCTCTCTCCAGCTGAGCCAAAGTGGCAGGAGTAGGGGGCTGAATTCCCCCCTCCCCTCCCACCTTTCCCTTCCCCCTTCCCCCTTCCCCTCCCTCGCAGTGGACCAAAGTGGTGGGGATTGGGTCCGATTCTCCTCCCCCTCCCTCCTACTATCCCGACCCTCCCGTGAAGGGTATGGGACCAAGCTTGGAGATCCCTCCCTCCCTCTCTCCCTCCCGCCCTCTCTCCCTCCCTCCCTCCCTCCCTCCCTCCCTCCCTTCCTCCGGAGGACCAAAGTGGTGGGAATAGAGTCCAAATTTCTTCCCCCTCCTCTTCCTCCTCCTCCCCCTCCCCACCGGAAGGACCAAGGAATGAGTTCTCCCACCCTCCCTCCCTCCCTCCCTCTCTCCCCCTCCCTCCCAGAGGGGAGGGAGAGGGAGTGGAGGGGGATGGGGGAATGTCTTCAGTAATTGCGTTGGACAGAAACGTCAATTCCTTTCCCAGCTTAAATTACACGAGCACATGTTATGACAGCAGACGGGGAGTTTAAGCCTTATAACCGGGGCGCACAAGGTCCGAATTACAATCACACTGCAGCAAACGGGGAGTTTAGGCCTTACAACCGGGGCGCACAAGGTCTAAATTACAGTCAAACTGCAAACACCGAGAAGATTCTTCCTTACACCTGTATTTTATTTATTTATTTATTTTGCTTCTTTTAAATCTGTTGAGTTTTATGGACCGTATAAAGTTCCCTGCACCTTATGTAAAGTTCCCTGCACCTTATGTAAAGTTCCCTGCACCTTATATAAAGTTCCCTGCACCTTATGTAAAGTTCCCTGCACCTTATGTAAAGTTCCCTGCACCTTATGTAAAGTTCCCTGCACCTTATATAAAGTTCCCTGCACCTTATGTAAAGTTCCCTGCACCTTATATAAAGTTCCCTGCACCTTATGTAAAGTTCCCTGCACCTTATGTAAAGTTCCCTGCACCTTATATAAAGTTCCCTGCACCTTATGTAAAGTTCCCTGCACCTTATGTAAAGTTCCCTGCACCTTATGTAAAGTTCCCTGCACCTTATATAAAGTTCCCTGCACCTTATGTAAAGTTCCCTGCACCTTATATAAAGTTCCCTGCACCTTATGTAAAGTTCCCTGCACCTTATGTAAAGTTCCCTGCACCTTATGTAAAGTTCCCTGCACCTTATATAAAGTTCCCTGCACCTTATGTAAAGTTCCCTGCACCTTATGTAAAGTTCCCTGCACCTTATGTAAAGTTCCCTGCACCTTGTGTAAATTTCCTCAATCCCTCAAGTGAGGGACTGATTACCTCAACTTTTCGGCTTTCTAAACCGTTGGCAACACATCAGGTAAGAAATGTGAGTCAGTCCACGACGGAGCGACGTGTCCTCCATAACGTTCACTAATAACCAAAGTTTTGTTAACTAATCTTTAGGTAACGTTTAGCCCTCACAAGGAACCATTATCAAGTAACACGTGTGACTTGGTTCACCACGGAACGAATTGTTCCACCAACGGAATTGTGTATTGTTCGTGAATTGTTCCAGCAACGGTGGACTCTCAGTCCTAAAGACAGTAGTCAAGGTAAGAGAGGTAGTTTGAGGTTATCAGTCCTACAGCAACGATGGAAGATCAGTCCCTCGGTCATGATGGAAGATCAGTCCCTCGGTCATGATGGAAGATCAGTCCCTCGGTCATGATGGAAGATCAGTCCCTCGGTCATGATGGAAGATCAGTCCCTCGTCATGATGGAAGATCAGTCCCTCGGTCATGATGGAAGATCAGTCCCTCGGTCATGATGGAAGATCAGTCCCTCGTCATGATGGAAGATCAGTCCCTCGGTCATGATGGAAGATCAGTCCCTCGGTCATGATGGAAGATCAGTCCCTCGGTCATGATGGAAGATCAGTCCCTCGGTCATGATGGAAGATCAGTCCCTCGGTCATGATGGAAGATCAGTCCCTCGGGCATGATGGAAGATCAGTCCCTCGGTCATGATGGAAGATCAGTCCCTCGGTCATGATGGAAGATCAGTCCCTCGGTCATGATGGAAGATCAGTCCCTCGGTCATGATGGAAGATCAGTCCCTCGGTCATGATGGAAGATCAGTCCCTCGTCATGATGGAAGATCAGTCCCTCGGTCATGATGGAAGATCAGTCCCTCGGTCATGATGGAAGATCAGTCCCTCGGTCATGATGGAAGATCAGTCCCTCGGTCATGATGGAAGATCAGTCCCTCGTCATGATGGAAGATCAGTCCCTCGGTCATGATGGAAGATCAGTCCCTCGGTCATGATGGAAGATCAGTCCCTCGGTCATGATGGAAGATCAGTCCCCTCGGTCCCTGATGGAAGATCAGTCCCTCGGTCATGATGGAAGATCAGTCCCTCGGTCATGATGGAAGATCAGTCCCTCGGTCATGATGGAAGATCAGTCCCTCGGTCATGATGGAAGATCAGTCCCTCGGTCATGATGGAAGATCAGTCCCTCGGTCATGATGGAAGATCAGTCCCTCGGTCATGATGGAAGATCAGTCCCTCGGTCATGATGGAAGATCAGTCCCTCGGTCATGATGGAAGATCAGTCCCTCGGTCATGATGGAAGATCAGTCCCTCGGTCATGATGGAAGATCAGTCCCTCGGTCATGATGGAAGATCAGTCCCTCGGTCATGATGGAAGATCAGTCCCTCGGTCATGATGGAAGATCAGTCCCTCGGTCATGATGAAGATCAGTCCCTCGGTCATGATGGAAGATCAGTCCCTCGGTCATGATGGAAGATCAGTCCCCTCGGTCATGATGGAAGATCAGTCCCTCGGTCATGATGGAAGATCAGTCCCTCGGTCATGATGGAAGATCAGTCCCTCGGTCATGATGGAAGATCAGTCCCTCGGTCATGATGGAAGATCAGTCCCTCGGTCATG